TCAGAACACCTGACAGCACACCGCTGCAGTACAGGTGAAACACCTCAGACACAGGTGAAACACCTACAGGTGAAACACCTCAGAACACCTGACAGCACACCTGCTGCACACAGCTGCAGTCAGAACACCTGAAACACCTCTGCAGAAACACCTCAGAACACCACACTCTGCTGCAGTACAGGTGAAACACACCTCAGAACACCTGAGAGCACACCGCTGCAGTACAGGTGAAACACCTCAGAACACCTGAGAGCACACCGCTGCAGTACAGGTGAAACACCTCAGAACACCTGAGAGCACACCGCTGCAGTACAGGTGAAACACCTCAGAACACCTGAGAGCACACCGCTGCAGTACAGGTGAAACAGCACACCCAGTACAGGTGAAACAGAACCTCAGAACACCACACACCGCTGCAGTACAGGTGACCTCAGAACACCTGAGAGCACACCGCTGCAGTACAGGTGAAACACCTCAGAACACCTGAGAGCACACCGCTGCAGTACAGGTGAAACACCCCAGAACACCTGAGCACACCGCTGCAGTACAGGTGACACCTCAGAACACCTGAGAGCACACCGCTGCAGTACAGGTGAAACACCTCAGAACACCTGACAGCACACCGCTGCAGTACAGGTGAAACACCTCAGAACACCTGAGAGCACCTACAGGTGAAACACCTCAGAACACCTGAAGCACCGCTGCAGTACAGGTGAAACACCTCAGAACACCTGAGAGCACACCGCTGCAGTACAGGTGAGAACACCTGAGAGCACACCTGCAAACACCTCAGAACACCTGACAGCACACCGCTGCAGTACAGGTGAAACACCTCAGAACACCTGACAGCACACCGCTGCAGTACAGGTGAAACACCTCAGAACACCTGAAGCACCTGAGAGCACACCTCGAACACCTGCAGTACAGGTGAAACACCTCTCAGAACACCTGAGAGCACACCGCTGCAGTACAGGTGAAACACCTCAGAACACCTGACAGCACACGCTGCAGTACAGAAACACCTCAGAACACCTGAAACACCCTGCAGAACAGGTGAAACCCTCAGAACACCTGACAGCACACCGCTGCAGTACAGGTGAAACACCCAGAACACCTGACAGCACTCCGCTGCAGTACAGGTGAAACACCTCAGAACACCTGACAGCACACCGCTGCAGTTCAGGTGAAACACCTCAGAACACCTGACAGCACACCGCTGCAGTACAGGTGAAACACCTCAGAACACCTGAGAGCACACCGCTGCAGTACAGGTGACACACCTCAGAACACCTGACAGCACACCGCTGCAGTACAGGTGAAACACCTCAGAACAGCAGCTGTCCTCATTAGGCTTCCCTTCCCAAAATCAAGTGACGAACAGCCATGCGAGGGCTTCTAGACAAGGCCCTGCACACACACACACACACACACACACGCATACGAATACATAGGCACATACACAGACATTTGAAAATGTGCACAAACACCCGTTTTCCACCAAGCTGGTCCTGGTGCTGGTGCTGGTTCGGAGCCAGAGCCTGACTTGGCACCGGTTCTTTCGTTTTCCACAGCTTAAAGCCCCACTAGGTAGGAATGAAACAGGCGCTCAGCGCCACTAAAGGCCACTAGAGCAAGTAGAAGCACAACACCGCTGTCAGAAAACACACAGAGTGCACACCGGCTGACGTCCCCAGGAGAACGTGCATTTTTTTTTTCACCCTGAGACTTGTGGAGCTGGAATCAATGAAGTTATTAGTTACTAGCACTCTGCCCTTGGGGATCCACGGGTTCTATTTCATGTAATTTCGTCTTTATATTATAGTGAACAATGCACCATTATGATGTCATCACGTAGCTGTGGTGTTTCCATAAACATCAAGGTGGCTGTCACGCGACCGATGTTTTTACAGTAACTAAAACTAAGTAACCATCAAGGGGAATACGCAGCGCTGACATTCCGCGCTCAGTGGAACACAAAGTCGCCTGCAAGACGGAGCAAAATACCGTCGCTCACATTATGCTGCAGATCACGCGTTACTTTCTCTTGTGGTCTGGCATCTGTTTTTTGTGATTCGGGACTCCTGTGGATGAATTGTCTTGGGTTCAAAAGGGGGAATCCCCAGGAGAGGACATACAGGGGGAATCCCCAGAAGAGGACAAAAGGGGAATCCCCCCTGTATGTCTTTATTATAAAAGCGAAGCTCACGTTATGCTGCAGATACGCACCCGGCGGATTCTAGCACTGATTGGCCGGAAAAAGTCGCCTGCAAGACGGAGCCAAATAGCGAACTCCCGCTATGCTGCTGCACGTGCCCCTGGAATCAGCACTGGAATGCCTGCGGAGTCAGCACTGATTGGCCGGACAGGTGAAAAGTAAGACCGGAGCCAAATAGCAGCACTCACGCTATGCTGCAGATACAGGTGGAATCTAGCACTGAGTTGCCGGACACACACGCACACAGAGGCCACTCGGCTATTATAATATAGATGATCGTGTATACATAGAAGTCTTCAACAGCTTTGGATTAAAACTATTGCTCTACAACAAAGTATGCGCAAGCACCGCTCCGAAGAGTAACGTTAACAGGCGTAGTAGCTATTGTAACCTCAAAACGGGGAAAATATCAATATAATGACGGCACAACGCCAGCCTACAAAGCTGATATGGCCTGTCTTTGCTTTCAAACAATAGTTGCTAGTAAGTCAACAACTTTTCTCACCGTGAAGCATAAAGTTCGCTATAAAAACACTCCGAAAAGGGGCTAACTCTGCCGTTGAAATGCTAATGCTACCTCGCTAACCTTGTTTACATTATTTGAATGGGCTTACAATCAGTTACGTTTTGATAACCCAAATAGTGACAGGTGAAACACACGATAACACAGCTAACAATAACAATGTGTGATAAATACAATGCATGAACACGAGCATATAACTCACCCTCAATCAGCAACACTGCCAGCTCGGTGTCCGACTTGCAGCCCTCTTTTGCCATGAGCTCTCTCCACTGTGAAAAAGCCGGTCTAATATTAACTCTGGTTTTGTGCCGCACTGTCACTCTCCCTTTTTTTTTATCCTGGCTTCCACTGATACCGTCCTTTTTTCGCTTCTTTGCCTCAGCCATCTTTTCGAGACACGATACGGGCTAGCGGGCTAGCCTAGCTGCCTTCTCCTTATGCTCCTTATCCAAAAGCTTGTGTGTGCCGGAAAGCAGAACGTGACTCTCAGCGAACACGGGACCTGGTCGAAAGTTACAGCACACCAGATGCAGGCCACCAGGTCCCTCTGTGGTAATGGGAGAGATGCCATTCTCACTGTAATAATCCAGCCCACCAATAGATAAACTTTGAAACTGATATTTCAAGGTGAAATTCCTACTTAGTGGGGCTTTAAGCACCAGCTCCTGGCTCTTAAAACCGGTGCTAGAGTTAGCACCAACTCCTTGCTGGTCCAGAGCAAGCACCGAACACGTGGGCGGAGTTTACTAACACGACCAGTACAGGTGAAGTATTTTGAGCGTTCTGCTGACAGTAAACGTTGGAATGTATAAGCATATGTCTTATATCTGCATGAAGCTTTTATATTTTATTTTACTTTCCGCGCCGCTTACGTCAACAATAAGCATTACGAATATGAGTTAGCTGGCCAGATAGGGCGTTCGCGAATTCCTGTTATTGCCATTAGCGAGCTTGAATGTCATTTCAAAACGAAACTACATTAGCTCGTTCAAAGTGACGGAGCTGGAATGAAATACGACACCTGCTCGTTTATTTATTACCTGTCTGCTTCCTTGGGAAAAGTAAAGATGGATAGCGTGTTCCTATTATTACACCCTATTTCTGCACAAGGTTTCCGTATTTTTAACATGCATGGACAACAATGCAAGATACGGTATGCGCCTTATATTGCTGCTTTTTAAATATCTGATCTTAATCCAGCACAAGATCATAGCAATCTAATCGGCTATATTCCTTTTCCCCTCTAAAAACGATAAAACCTCAATGACAATAATAGTATTACTGAGCATAGAAACACAAGCTTTATTTCAGTTTTACATTTTTATTCGTGGTTTCCCGCAGTCCATACTGTATTTCTGTATTGCCAGATGTTACGTGAGCGCTGCTGAGAGAGACGCAGATCTCAAACAACGTTTATTTTCTCCTGATCTGCTGGTCTTAAATTACAGTGACGGAATCACGTGGCTCTGATTTGGCACCCGGGCGATGGAAAAGCAAACAGGTTCTTAGGAGGTGCGTGAGTTGAACCAACTAAGCACTGGCACTAGCACCAGGTTCTTTTTGGTGGAAAAGGGGGAACAGACATGCACAAGCACTGCATACATATAAACAGACAAAGACATCCATGTACATGTGTGCGTGCATGCGTGTGTGTTTGTGTTTGTGTGTATATGCATGCACTCACTCATTAATTACTTATATGGATGCACGCTTTACTTCTCATGCTCACACAGATACACACCACGGGGTTTCTCATCTCTGACAGTCTGTTGGAAGGCTGGTGGCTCCAGCTGCTGCAGATCTTTGGCGAAGCCAAGAGACCCGAGAGCGTTAATCCCCTCCCCCCACCCACCCTCGCGGGTCTGAAACAATCTGCGCACCTCCTCTGCACCAGACGCTTGGTGATTTAGCCTTGAAGACGACAGCTCTGCCACGCACATGACACAAACATGATGCGTGTGCTGATGAGTCCGCAGGCGCTTAAATGAACGATTGAAGACACGCAGGCTACTCCCGCTGCGATTTACAACACACTTCCTGTTTACTGCCAGCACCCCAACAGCAGCGTAGACGACATCCGTTATTATCATTGCACAGCGGTATATGAGCTTTATTTAACCCCATGGGGATAAAGTTTGCATTTGGCCCTTTGCAGTTACTGAAGAGCTGTGGGCAGCTACAGTGTAGCACCTGGGGACCAACTCCAGCTCTAATGCCAGAGGCTGATCATGTGTTTTGGGGTAGCTAGTTAGCAACGAGTGTGGCATGGGGGCACAATGGATAGCACTGCTGCCTCTTAGCCAGAAAGTTGTGGGTTTGAATCCCACCTGGGGCATTTCTGTGTGGAGTTTGCGTGTTTTCTTTGTGTTTGCGTGGGTTTCCTCTAGGTACTCCGGTTTCCTCCCACACTCCAAAGACATTCATGTCAGGCTAACTGGGGACTGTAAATTGCTGGTAGGTATGAGTATTCGTCCGTGGAAGAGATTGAAGCTGCACCGCATGTCCTCAATAGTATGAGGTGCACCTAGTTAAAAAGTGCATAGATGCCAACCCCAGACCTGGGGCAGAACCTTGACTGGCTGTTTACAAATCAGTACAAACATACACTACAGGCCAAAAGTTTGGAAGCAAGACCAAATTTGTACAAAAAAAGATAATAGTTTCATTGGCATACTTTGCAACAAAATAACCATGATTATTGTATAAAGAGTCACTTATCAGAATACATTTTTACTCGAATTATCAGGTATTTCCTTATTTTATTTTTGCTTATACTTTGTTTTCTTCAAAGTAACCTCCTCTTGCTTTAACAACAGCATGGCATATACGAGGCATTCGTTCCTCAAGTTTTTTAAGATATGTGCCAGGAGTTGCATTCCAAGCTTTCTTAAGTTCATCAATGGGAGACTGCTGATTCGTGGGACGCACTTTTCTGATGGATCCATCCAATTCGTCCCACACAAGCTCAATTGGAGAGAGGTCTGGAGACTGTCTAATCATGCAGTAAATACATCCCAAAATCCATAGATTTCATACTGGTTTTTAAGAAAGGCATTGTGAACAGAAATTTGAAGTTGCTTCCAAATTTTTGACCTGTATTGGCCTTGCTTCCAAACTTCTGGCCTGTGGTGTATACAATGAGTATGCAAAGTTGCAAATCAGGACATACAGTATTTAGTTTGATTACTAATTTGTGATAATGCACTGTGTATATTATTGCACATGGCAGGAGCCGCAGAGGTGTCTGGGGGGAGGGGTACCAGTGGCAGTACTTGTTGTGGTGAAGAGGTTTCATGACTGTGTTTTGCCTCAGTCACCTGTGCATAGTCAGTATAGGACATACCACAAAACTTACATTTCAGTTGAGCTATGATAGAATCTGATTTCCTGGTTAAGAACCTAATTTGAGCGTCATATGCGGTACTCGTCTCTCCGGCTGGGGTAATGAGTGTCGTTACCGTGATTCTTGGCTGAAAGCGAAACACATCTCCTCAGGGTGACGAAGTTTGAATTGCTGCACTGCGCTTTTTTACGAAAGGCCGAAAAAACTTCCACACTAGAGTCCCGAAAGGCTTCCTGCGGCGTTCAGTCCAATAATTATGTTTGAAAGCGAAGCAAACTGTGGCAGTGACAAAAAAAAAAGAAAATAAATACTAATTTATCCTACTGCAGGGTGAAATGATCACAGTGGGATGCAAATACGAGGTGTGAATTCTTACTTCACACCGCTAAAGACAACATTGAAATCTTTCCAATAACCTTTGGAGCAACAACTCACATTTTTGGATTCGCACCCTGAAAGTTTTGCGTCAGTGTCAGCGTCAGTTTTTTTCCTAGTGCAGCAGCACATTTAATTTGAACTGCTGTTTTCAGCGAACATTCACAGCACTGTCTTGCCTCACAGCAAGAAGTTTGTGGGTTCAAATCAGTTCTGGGCTTTTTTGTGCGTGGGTTGTGTATTAGGCTGTGAGTGAATGATGGGAGATCCCACTAACAAACTGGTGAATTCTGGCTTCTTGCTTATGGGATGTATGTTGGATAGTGGATTTCTTTGTAAGTGCAAAGATGAGTGCTTAAGACTTCTATCCTGCCCCTAAAGTAAATAGTTCACAATTGTCTGAACTGTGAGTGAATCAGCGCTGGTTTATATAGCCAGTGGCACATTTAGCCTAAGTTATGGGTGGAAAGAAAAACTTTATAACCCCCTAAACTCTGATTTTTGCTTGTCCCATATTCTGTATCTCTTAGTTGCAGTGCTTCACTGCTATGTCACTCTTATACTTAGAGATATATCAAAACCCAGGATGCCATGTTATTATGACCACAGCATTGCACCAAATAGAAAATATTTACATCTTATGCATAATTTTGTACACATTTCCTTTTCGTTCAGCAGGAAATATTTGGGATCTCTGGAAACCTTGGAATCTCTACTAGAAATTAAAATAGGCCAATAGTTCTACAGGATTGAATACAGTAGCTGCATTTCATGACCCCACATATGGGATCCCTGAGTTGAAGACCCCTCCTGGACCAGATTTCCCCCCCATTAGCGCTAAAGTGCATTAACCATCCATCACTAAAACCAACACCTAAAACCATTATGCCAGGGGCCTTATGGGTATTATGGGCACGTGAAAGAACAAGTTATGGCTAGATTACCTGTTGTGTGGGTGAATATGTGTGAGCGCGTGCGCGCATGTGTGTCTCTGTGTGTTTGTGTTTGTGTGTGCCCTGCGGTAGATTAGCAAACTCTCCAGTGTGTGTTCCTGCCTCTTCCCCAATGCATGCTGGGATAGGCTCTGGCCCCTCTGCATGCCCCACCAGGAATACTGTATGCTGATCTGATAATGAATGAACTGAAGCTGGTGCTTTTTTTTAAAGCTTTTTCCTTCTTATATAACAACATGCACTTGTTCGTATCCTGATATGAATTATAAATGGACCTCCTGTGGCTTGAATCTGGCAGTTTAACGCCATTGATCTCCAGTTGTCTTGGTTTCTGAGGGCGAGAAAACGTGGTGTAATGTGAAATGTCGTGAACCAAAACAACCAAGCTTGCGTAAGCGTCTCTTGGAAGAATGAATGAAGGAGCATGCGTTTCACTCCTGTGAGACCCACACATTCGCGGCGCTTCCTTTCTGCGTAGATTACAGAAAATTGTTGCCGTGTTCCACCCCCAGAAATCCGGAATATTCCACCCCCGTCAGGCGCAGATTACAGACGGGAGTGATTCTCATCTGCCCACGGAAAACTGGAGCTACTCGACGACTGATTCCTTTTTATGCGTATGAACATAACAAATTTTTTTGTTTCAGTTTATTTTCCTTATTTTCCATAGTTTCTGTTCCGCCCCCATCTCTTCTCTTTAGAGCGATCTTTTTGCAATCGAGTTTTTTAACGCTTATCAACAAAGGCATTGGAAGCCACTATTTATCATTGACAAAAAAATTGTAGCTTATGTTGAAATGAAAGAGAATCTCACCCCCTCACAAAAAACCCATGACCCAAACTTCATTCAAATTCAAATATTATTTCCATTCATGAATTTCCTCGAAATCATATGTTTATCACCAGATTTCTGCTAGAGCTCTACAATCAAATTTACAATGCCAGCTCAGGAACAGATGCAGCTCTTAAGGTCTCCGAAACAGGCTTTGGTTTTTTTAACCAGAAAAAGATGAGTTGTGGTGAGTACAGGAATGATTGCTTTCATGGCATGCACTCGTTGGCCATCAAACAGCACTATGGGGGAGTTCACAGTTTTTACGTGAGTTTGTCGTGTTTAAGTTGGCTATCGACATTTATCTGCATGTTTGCATTTTTTTTAGCATTGGTTCAAATAACAGCATATTCTCAAATGTATTGAATTTATTAGAAGTTTCATTTTCTTGATTTTTTGTTTTAAATTTATGAATGTACTAAAGTTCAACAAGAGACAAGTTCAGTTAACGCTGTGTGCTGATAGAGTCATGTGGTTGAGGTGATTGGCTGAAATATTTCCTGCTAAATAATGTGGACACGGCAAATTTGCTTACTCTAGGCCAAGACAACAAGACGAATTGATAATGGATTCCCCTGGCCGAAGTCGCTCCTCTGTTTTCCCTCAATTAAAATAACCTCAATGCAGTTTATTGTCATCTGATCAGGGAAAAAAACTAGTCGGCCAAAATGATCTGACTGAGCGCGTGCGATTCCCCATTTCCTGTCTTTACCGGCAAATTTTCTCAAAATGAAAAAAAAAAACATTGAGAAGAAGGGAACATGAAAGCAGAAGGCCTTTGATCTTTTCGGTTTTTATTTATTCAACAAGATTTTAAGGATTTATGCTTCTTCTGTGTATTCCTGTGACGCGGGCATAGAGGCAGGAGCTGTCATTACAGCTGCACGCAGGTGCTTCAGAACATGAGGACGCATTTATCCACGGTTCTCCATTCGGATAAAGCGGAACCGGAGGCCTGGTGTCCGTTAGTGTACAATGAGTCATTCAACTGAATTCACTGCACATCTTCTACGGAGCTTTCACATTCAAATTTATGTGCATTTAAACTTGCGAGAGAAGATGTTCTATCTGCAGATCTGTTCAATTCGAGTTGATGAGGACTATTGCTACTACAAGCTGAAACCAACGATGACTGGCCAACTGAGCATGACAGGCCACAACCTGCGACAGGTGGCCAACACCCATTGCGTCCAGATAAAACCCCCTGTGACAGGTGAACCTGGTCATGACTGGACAAAACCTGCCACGACCTGTGGAAACCTACAAACCAGCTGAAACCGGTTGAGACTGGCTGAAACTCGCTAGGGCCAGCTCCTAACTTGAGCTTCAGTCAACATTATCTCGGGAAATGTCTTCGTGCTCTGTGCGTTCATCTGTCATTTCAGAGAACAATCTGCTCGTTGAAGGCCGCAATTATGTTTTAAGCAGCTCCTGCTGTCTCGCCACATAAGTGTGGGAGACGAAGGCGAGCCTCTCAAAGGGTGTGAAATGGAACGCACGCTTACTAAAGTGACATTTCCGGCTGGATCCCGGAGACCAAAACACCAACCATTCATCACTCCACTGGACCTCTGCGGAGCTCACCTTTACTGGAAACAGTGGCCTCTCATATCAGACTGAAGTAAGAAACAGTGTAAAATTACATCTGGAATGAATAATTATCTCTGTCGGGCCTAAGCCTGGAGGGTATTATGCATTTTGTTGTGTGTGTGTGTGTGTGTGTGTGTGTGTGTGTGTGTGTGTGTGTGTGTGTGTGTGTATCTGTCCTTAGCAAATCTCGCATACAACTGAACCCATCAGCCTAATATTTTTTGTGCACACTTACGAGTGTA